TCTATTGATATTGGCGGCATTACCACAAAGCAAAATGCCGTATGTCATTAGACTGTGAAAGTAGCTGAAGTGAACCAATCTAGAGGTTTCGACGTCTGAAAGTTTCCGTTTTTTTATTAATCGCATACACTGCAGTGCTGAGCCGATTTGATAGTTTACTTATATGTGGACCCCATTGCAATTTAGCATCTAACGTTATATCTAGAAATACAACAGTATCCACAAGATTAAATTTTTCGTTTCTAACTACAATGTTTGTAACCGTCTCTCTAACATTGGGTAATGTAAATTTCACACAATTTATTTTTATTTTTTTTATTAACAGCAAACCAATCTAAAACTACTTTAGATATAGTATTGTTCACAACGTCGTAGGAACATTGGTGCCTTTTAACTTTAAATAATAGTGAAGTATCATCAGCAAATAATACTGTATCATGTTTTAAACCCTCCATGAGGCTAGGTAAGTCATTAATATAAACTGAAACAGAAATGGACCTAGAACTGAATCTTGAGAGACACCTATGCTTATTGCAGACCCTGATGATCTCGTACCGTTAACATCAACCCTCTGGACCCTACCACTCAAATACGATTTAAGAAGGTCGAGGTCACGTCCCTCCACACCATAAGGGCGAAGTTTCCTGATCAGAGTATCATGGCGCACACAATCAAAAGCCTTGGAAAGGTCACAGAATACACCTATAGCGTCATGTGAGTCTTGCCATGCATCAAATATATGTTTCATCAACTCAACACCAGCATCGGTTGTAGAGCGACCCCGAGTGAAACCAAATTGTTTAGGAGACATTAAGTTATTACTATAAAAATGTGCACACATCTGATTTAGAATTATTTTTTCAAAGTTTTTACTGAGTGTTGGTAGCATTGAAGTAGGTCTGAAATTGGTGGTGGTCTGACATACTACCAGATTTGAAAAGTGCAATAACTTTACTTTGCTTCATGAGGTCAGGAAACAGACCATCATTAACACATATATTAAAGACACAGGCTAAGAAAGACGCAATACAATCAACTATAGAACTAATTACTCTGACTGAAAGACCATCAAGGTCAGCAGTATTTTTGATGTCTATAGACTTAAATGCTTTAACAATAGTTTGGAAATACATAACGGAACCTTAAATTACTAATACTAACTGCATTATTTTCTTTTAGTAAGGATTCAGCGACGTTGGGGGATGAATTTAACGACTTAGTAGCCAAAATTGGAATGTCAGTAAAAAAAATTGTCAAACATATTAGCATCGTCTGTGTTTACAATTTTATCATTAAATCGTAGTTTTAAAATCTAAGTTACGAGGTTTGACCTCTCTAGTTTCGCTGTTTATAATATTCCAAGTCGTTTTTACTACATTCGCGTTGCTGTTAATTTTATTATTTACTGTATTATTTATATTATTAAACATTGATTTGGCTGTAACACAAACACGTTTAAACATTTTCGAATACTTCCTAACAAAATCATTAAAACTGTTACTAGTGTTGTAGGTCCTTTCATCGTAAAGATCACAAAGCCTTTGTTTATTTTTATGAATTCCCGCTGTCGCCCAATCACTAAATTTCAATGAATTGTTAATGGTTATGAATTTGGATTTAAAAACATTATCACGTTCAGTTTTCACCATGTTGAAAATTGAATTATACAATTTATTGGGATCGTTAACGTACGGAATGTCAGTTAGTTTAAGCATTACGTTATTTATATCTATAAGCTTTAAGTTGACCATTATTTATCGGAACACATGTGATATCCTTTTTTGGCACTTTATCAACAGTTATGTTAAAAATGCCCAATTGACCGCAGTGATCAGACTTTAATTTATTTAAAACAGATTTATTACTAGGTACGGTGTTAGTATAAATGTTGTCTAAACAAGTGGCTGTAGTAGAAGTTATTCTAGTAGGCACCAAGAAAAGATTCACGATTATAACATTGGAAAAATGATATGAGCCTACTGCTAGCACTGGAATCTTCTAATAAATCAACATTGAAGTCACCACAAACAGCAATATGTTTCTTTGGATTATTTAATTTGCCTAAGACTTCATCTAATCTTTTTTCAAATAATTCTCTAGTTCAGGTACATGTGTTATTTTTACATTAAGTCGCATAAGTAGTCTTTAGTTTTCTCTGTACATTATATTACTGAATAAACAATTTTATTATTATTATTATTATTATTATTATTATTATTATTATTATTATTAATTCATAAGATGAATGAGGGGGTCTGTACACGCTTAATACAACAAGCCGTTCAAACTCTATGCAGGATATGTCTATAGTCAGTTCAATAGACAGGCTCACAATATCTGAACATTCTTTAAGTTTAAATTATTTTTATTTTTAATAAGAATTAAAGAGCCGCCCTGAATAGCTTTTTCTCTGCTGAACGAACTAGCCACCTGGTGATTGTTGAAGCTAAACATGGACTGATGTTTAGATAAAAAGTGGAGCTCAGTAATACGAATATCAATATTATTACAGTTAATAAATAATTATATTTCTAACTCTTTGCCTTTCATGCCTTGAATATTTTGATGCACCAAGTGTAATGCACAATTTATTTTATTTCTATGAGTTTTAAGTTGGTTTTTTACTGTCACTGTCTTGCAAGAGTATTTCTTAATTAATAAGTGCAATATTTTTAAGTAAGTTATTTTTAACCGACTTCAAAAAAGGAGGAGGATCTCAATTCGACTGTATGTTCTTTTTTTCTTTTTTTTTGTATGTATGTTACGCGATAACTCCGGTATTTGTGAATCGATTTTCATGATTCTTTTTTTTGTTGGAAAGGGGGTATTTCCATAGTGGTCCCATTTCATTTTGAAGAAAATCATCCACCTCAAAGGGTGGCTGTTCACGCATGAAGAGTCATTTTTATAAATAGCGCCTAACTTTAATTTAGGAGCAATTACTTTTAGCAATTATTTAGTTGATTTTGCTATTTCTCCAATTCAAGGCGTTTTTCTCTCGAAATACTTTGAGTAGTGTCTTAGTGAGAACCTATTTTTATTATCTCCAGTATCAAGTCCTGTATAGTGGCGAACTAGGGGATATTTCATTGAAACTTAGCAAATAGACGTAATTCCACGTACATTTGAGGTCGGTTTTTTTAGTACTCTGTACTGAGATTACAAAACATTTAATTTGAATAAATGTCACGTGTGCGGCTGTGGCATATGGAAAAGGATCCACTCAGCTAATGCGTCACATGCGTGCGTAAAATCGCGTCACAGCCTAGTAAAGACTGTGACGCGATTTTCAGTGGATGGAACTTAATTTAAAAAAATTTACGCGCCGAGCAGGCAGGAGTTGCTCTACTTGCTCTTATTATAACTGTAATATGTACGATTTCGTACCGGTATTGCGAGGTCCTGGAGTTCGGAAGTTTGAGACTTATTTACAACGTTGGGTTGCCGACCTAGGGGCTGCGATAACCGCTCTGGGACATTGTTGGTTCATCAGGTGTCTATTGCCCTCCAGTGAGGTAATGCAGCCAGTACAGTGGGAACTTGTAAATTCCTGTTTTAGTATTATAGTACCTATTGACGAAGGCTGATCTTTAAGGTTGTAAATTTATTATCTATATATTATCTGTTTTTATTAAATAAAGTTTATACACTTTATTCCGATTTGATTTTAGAAGATAACTTTAATTTCGGTTATTAAATATTATATAATGGTATAAAAATCGAACAAACACAATGAAAAATTCTTTGGACTCGAACCAGAGACCCCGCCATATCAGAGCTTTCGCTATTCCAACGAAGCCACGGAACAAACTAGCGGACCCTACGAATTTCTCTATGTGCTTTTTGCAGTACTTTATTTTTGGTTTTAACGACTTTTTTGCCGTAATGCCATCTTTCTTTTTATAATATCAAGTGACGGGATCAACAAGTCGTATGCCTGGTGGTAAACTACACGCCTGTCTATAACAGTTGCAGTGCCACTAAGAGCTTTAAATCACGAAGGTCTGAGGGGCACTGAAACTGTGCCTGTTACCCTGAGACATAAGTTGACAAGTCTCATGTGCCTGTAATTTCACCAGCACCTTTACCCTTCAAAACCAAAGCACATTAATGCTGACATTACTGCTTGGCGGTAGAAATAGGTAAGGTGGTAGAACCTTCCCGGGCGAACTCTTTCACAAGGAGCTCTACCGTTACTAAATCATCCTTAACAAATCTATTGAAAGTGGAGAGTTTTCACAAAAAAGTATATGAAAATCATTGACTTACAAATAAATGGACGACGGGTCTAATACAAAATCCACGAAAAAAATGTCCCAAGTCAACCTATTTAAACGTAGTGACATGTAAAGGAATATGAAAAAGCTAAAACGTTGAATTTAAATTGTAATGTCGTCGCTGTACTGTCTAATTTTGTTTGCTTCGCTGTCAGTCGAACAAACGAAGACTAAAGCGTGAATGACGCTCTGTATACCATTTTAACGCCCTATAAGTTCGGACACTTTTTAGCGCGGACCCGACGTCCATATAATTGTAAGTCAATGATGAAAATCGTGATAGTAAAAAATGTTGCATTTATTTCGATTTCTGAAAAGCCACCGAATAAATATTATAAGTATTTACAACATGTAAGTTTTTTTAGTCATTCCGTTATCTGCCTATAACATTGGCGCGGCATAAAAGAAACATAATTATTTTTAAAACGAGTGTCAATCATACACGATAAGGTATGAATAACCACCATGATTAACTGTGTTGTTTAGACACTTTTATCAATTAAATGTAGTAATTAAGATGAGAACAGTGAATGGAGCATAGTTGTGTCATTTCCAATATTGGCGATGACCTATTTATTTTAATTTGTATTTGAAATCACAATTTACGTAAATACAAGTAACTCCCAACATTTTTACATCGAGATAACCTTTGGGCAATAAGTATAATAAATAAATCATCGAACACGTTTCGCATTCAGTCGTAAACGGTGAAATTAGCTGACAACAAGTCCACTTATTTGATATTTGTAACAATAATTTTAAAAGAACTTTAATAAACATAACCTAACAGCCTAGGCGAATGCCTTTGGAATACCGCACGCAAATCACAGTGACGAAAATGGCGGGAAAGGATGACGTGTACAAGAAATCTTTCAACGGAACTTGTACTGTTGGTGTAAAAAGAACGAAAGGTGCAATCGCACGAAAAGCCGAAGCATACTTACAAGCCGTTGAAAAAAGCCAAGGGCCACCACCGAAAGGTAAAGCAGATACAGGGGAAGCTGCCTTATGAATTAATAGCAGCAAAGTTAACTTATACTAGAAATCACGAAATTTTTAATTTGAGAATATTACAAAAATTAGGTTAGGTTAAAACAATTCTCTTCCTTCGGGGCAGGCTAAGGCCATATTCCAGATGATTCCAATTGGCCATATGCCAGGTCTTAGATTCCAATTTTTCGTCGATTATTTAATTTACTGACATTTTTTCGCGAGAAATTGTTGTCTTTATGGTGGCCATTTTGAAGCTCTAGCAGGTCAGATTTTTTTATTACAATTTTTGGCTTGGATGTCCTTTGAGCCAGGTTCACTTAGTTTTCAGGATCCTCATTAAATATTTTCTATTGTGTTTTTAACGTACTTGTAGAATGAAAAAAAAAATAAGTTTTTTAAGTAGCCTTTGTTTTTCTTTCATGTTTTCACTTTCACTTAAATCACTTAGTTCACTTGCTAATAAGACGTTGAATTTTGAACACGGCTTAGTGGGTATTTCTTTTTATATGCTTCCTTTTCCTTTTTTCTCTTTTTTTACATTTGCCTTTTATACCTTGATCCTTCTTCCACAAAGTTTTCCATAGGTTTGTCATATCAGTTTTTTTGAAAATTAGTTTGACAATATGGCGGGTTTTAATAGTTACATTTTTTACACGAATTAATTTTTACTTTATATATATTACGTTGTGCGTTACTTGATTACTTGTTACCATTAAGCTGATAATTCTGAAGCCAATGCTTTATAAATAAATAAATAAATAAATAATTGTCATATCGTTGCATAAATCCGTATAACAATCGGTAAATGGTACAGGTATAACGAGCTCCACGTAATCTTAATTGAAAATGTTTAATTTGGCGTTTTAGCGTCCTTTAACTTTAAATTCGCGCCAAAGATTGCAGCAGGTTAGGTTAGTTTGTATATATTTTTAGTGACGTACTTACTGAATTTGTATTCGTTGTTACGTTTTGCCAGTAAGAGTAATTATTATGAATATTAAAAAAAATTATTACTACCTACGTCAATACCTAAATTTAGATTTTAAAAACATTAATTCTTATTTTACCTATGCAATAAATATTCTGGTGTGTACGTAAGAGATAAGCCGTGTTTTGATTTAAAATTGACCTCTGGTCCATTTTCTACATTATTTCGATAGCTCGAACATGCGATGTGCACTTTCTTTAAAGATGAAGTCATAATATAATAGAATTACTTAAACGTTATGATAGTATACTTACTTATTTATGGACTCTTCGTGTCGGATAAGGCAGTAAGACTGCGTATTGTTGTTACATCTATACTATACTATACGCCATTCACGTAAGGTGCTGATGTATTTATTCTTGAATCCTATAAATAGCAACAACCCCGTTCCTCTCTACATAAGTTTTGATTATACTTGTAGTGATCCTCTTTACCGACCCTTAGGGTACCTATACCAGAAGGGCACTATAGGCAGTGCAAGCACAGGGAAGGTCCTGACCAGATCAGCCTGTTTGCCCAGACTTCATCCGGTTGTCAAAAGGCTTCAGTGCCTTGGTGAGCTGCTCCGAGTGTACGTACAATATCTATTTTCCAGATAGATCGGACCGGAGCTGCAGGCACGCTCGCTTCCCGTTGCGCATTGCGGAACTAACGGTTGCCATCGCTAAGCCGTTGACTCTAAAATCCACTACCAAATCTCCACTTTGGTGGCGCAGTTGTAGGCTTGCTCACCTCCAGACGCCGAAGCGTTACGCCTCATTTCCCGAAACCTATGCAGCTGGAGGGACCGGACGAAGTCTAGCTCATCCTCCACTAGTTGTCCGGGCTAGTGCCGGAGATGCCGGTCGCAGTGTCCTGCGACAATGTCCGGACATAGCTTCCGACTTAAAGGGTTACTCACGTACCCCGCGCGTCTCCTCGCTTCCGGCCCGCGGCTAGACCGCTACTAAGATCGCCGTACCCTGGTCTTACCGGGGAGCTCGTAGTCTCCCAGGAACTTCCTATCTCAAGAGTCAGTAGGTAGGGACAAAATAGGGAATAAATAGCAACAATTGATTTACTTATGGTGTTAATTTCAGTGACAAACGTAAAGAAATCAGGGCTTCCACAGCTGGAGGTAGTCTCCAGGGTTGCCGCCATACCTATTGTAGGTTCCGGCATTGAAATCACAGAGAATTTGTACCGCAAAATCAGAGTAAGTTATAATTTACCTAAGCCTTAGTTGGAAATTACTAAATATTCTGTTGACAATTGATATTTATTGCCCAGGAGTCCAATGTCTTGATTCGCTGGTACCTGGCCCTTAGCGAAAAGTCGCTAGCCACTGGCGTGCAGCTGGCCCTTCCCGCCGTGCAGCTGTTTGAGTCCCCCATCCACCAGCTCGACAGATTCCTCTGCAAGTCTCTAGATGCTGTTGGGGAAAGAGTTCCTTCAATCTACCTGCCTCCTCAGGCTGTAAGTTGACACGTGAAAATAATAATTTTAATTCCATTAAGCGAGTATACTGTGTTGGTTGTGTTTTATATTTATTTAAAGTGGCCTATGGCATGTTATATAATTATAATATACGAAAGGAAACCTGGTTTAGTATTTCATTAGTCAAGGCTCGTACATACTTAGATAAGCGCTGCAAAACTAAAATCCGTTGCCTACCGTACCGAATTCGCAACGAGAAATACGCGGGTAATAATAGGTCCCCGATTCTATGAACATCTACCTACAAACCTGAAAAGTGTTACAAACGACGAAACGTTTTTTTATGACTAAAACTCCTTTTATTGGATAATGAATTCTACAGTGTCGATGAGTTTCTTTTGAAACAATTGTAATTTTTGTTTCACTTGACTTCGTTGTATTTAGGCAGGCAGTAGTTATTTATATTACTTTATTTTATGTTCATTATTATTGTTGACGACCATATTATCCCTTGACATTGTATTTTGAATCTATCTAAATATAACTTTTTGATCTTAGCTTCCAAAAACAAATCGATATTTTTTATTTGTGTAGATGTATTCCGAAACTCGCCACTACGTTCTTCGTCGAGCTGACTCCGTAAAACAGCTGGGCGCGGCAGTGCTGGACTCCCGCGTCACCGCCGTCACCGCTACAGCTCTCGACCGAGCCCTTACCACCGCTGACAAGTACGTCGACAAGTATCTGCCCCCTGATAACCAGGATACTGCTGATGGTGAGTAAAAGACAGTAAATACTTGTACACGACTAAACAGTGGCGGATTTGCAGTCTTGGCCGCCTAGGCCCCAGGCCTCATGACTACATAGTCAGTACCAGTCGCCCCTGTCTCTCTCAAATGTACGAAAGTGATTTAGGCAAATTATAGTTTTACGATGCGGTGCAGTGCGGCCCGCCATAAAGTGCGTCAGCCTTTAGAATATTTAGGTACTTTGAGTTATTTCTTGTTACCATCAGTGAATTTTTTGTCACGATTGGCCGCCCCTAAAATCTCGTCCTAGGCCCGGGCCTAAGGTGGTCTTAGGGCAACTCCGCCACTGCGTCTAAATATAATAAAGTTAAACAATATTCTTTAAATATCTAACAATTATTGTAGGTTACAAAGTAAGATAGCTTAGAACTTTGAACCCTATTTTGTCTTGTTGTATTGTAACCCCACTTTGTCTGCATAGTGTCTAATTACTAACCGCGTATCGGGGCCACCACCATGTTATCAGAAGGATGTTTAACTATTTGCATAATTTTTTGACAATTTTATTGTTAAGTGCATAGAGTCGATAGTCTTTTGTTAGGTTTTGTTCCCGGACTTCGTACGGAAGCTAATGTTCCAGCAAATGTAATATTTATATTGTCTGGTCGTTATCGTGTGGTGACAAATTAGGACTGATATCACTGGTCTGTCTGCATGGATGGACTCTGGCCATTTATGCCCGATAATTGTGATATAATAGGGACAAATTAGCGGAAAACTTTATAATTAGGTAGACATATCCTACAAAATGAGTCACTTGTTTTATTTGTTTGATATTGCCTAATTGGTGGTTAAATTATTTAGTCTAACATGACTAATTATTAGTGAGATCTAAGAAAAAATATTTACGACGGCTATGGAGTACATTAATAAATTAGAACATTAATGACTAGTTAACCGATGTAAATATGGCCTATGGAACGAAAGCTTGTTTTAAAAAATACAACACTATATAACTGATTCCCTAATGATGCATCTACAATACCGTTTTCTTGTATTTTTTGAACGATGCTTAAGATTATTAAGGCGTTTTTGCTTCGGTTAACAAAGCAGTATCATAAACCTCACAATAGTGGTGATCATAGTGACGAGTGCAGACGCTGTGGACGGTGCAAACGGCGATTCGGGAAGGGCAAAAGCAGCACAAGCTGTGCAGCACGGTGCTAGGCTAAAGAGGAAGCTGCAGCGGAGGCTCACCCGGCAGGCCCTGGCCGAAGCCAAAGCTATTAAGGAACAGATCCATGTGCTCGCCTACGTTGCTGAGCTGGTAAGTAACAAATTAAATTAGCTTTCATTCAACTATTTTTTAACAATAATTTAATTTTTTAGTTTTAAATTGAGTGTCACTATGTTTGAACTACCATGATATTCAATTATTTTTGTGAAATTATTCAATCATTAATTAAATTTTTATTGAATTGATATTCAATTATTATTATAAAAATTTAAAAAAAAAGTAATTAAAAAAAAAATTAATGAATACAGTGAATAGCGACATCTCTCGCTAGGACTTGTAGCTGTAAAGGTACTAACTGGGTGATAAATCTGTAATAGATTTCTCATAGATGGCGCTACGACTAAAAAGTCGTTGAAAGACCAAGTACAAAGACACGACGCAAGCACATAGAAAGATTCGTGAGGTCCGTTGGTTTGTTCCGTGGCTTAGTTGGTATAGCGTCTGGCACGGTATGCAAGAAGACGTCGGTTCGAATCCGACCGGATCGAACGAATTTTTTCTGAGTGTTTATTCCATTATTTTTAATCGACTTCAAAAAAAAGGAGGAGGTTTTCAATTCGACTGTATTTGTTTTTGTAGGTATGTATGTTACACGATAACTCCGGGATTTGTGAACCGATTTTGATGATTTTTTTTTGTTGTACCTCAGCAGTGGTCCCATTTAAATTTTAAGAATATATTCCACCTCTAAGGGTGGCAAACTAGGGGATGAATTCGGTTTCGCGCGTTTTCCGGTAACCGATTTCAATAAAACTTTTCAAATACGTGTGGCGCACTATAAGTTTCCGGAATGAATGAGAAAAAATACTATAAATGGTCAAAAATGAATTTATTGTTTCTCAAAATTTTCTCATACGAATGAACCAATTTTGAAAACATTTATGCCACTCTTCCGTGACAATCTCTGAAACATATTTTTCGTACTCTTCGACACTCTTAAGGCGATGAAAATCGTTGACCGCGTAACTGGTCCCTAATTTTTGGAAATAAATAAAAGTCGCAAGGTGCCAGCTCGGGACTGTACGCGGGATAGCTCATAAGATCAACATTGTTCACCTTCAAAAATTCATTTGTCTGTCTGGCCGTGTGAGAACTGGCATTATAGTGGTGCAAGATGATACGGCGTTTACGGTTATTTTTACGGAGTTTGTCAAAAACTTCCGCAAACCAATGGTCGTGTACTAATCACTATTCACCGTACAACGATTCTCCAAAGCAACAGTAGCCACGTGTCCAGTTTTATTAAAAAAAGAAGCAATCATCGGCTTCCTTTAAGCGGATGGAAAGAGTGAAGCTCCACTGAGCTGTTGAATTACACTTAAAGTCGTAGACAATCATACTACGAAAATGTTCACGATAAATCCATGGTGATGTAGACAACCAATTTCTAAAATGACGCCACAATGTAAAAACAAGTGACAGTCAGATGAAATAAACTGTATTCTACAGCCACAGAGTTCCATTTTCAAATGTTGTAATTACTTTTTAAATATTGTTTATGTAAGTGGTCAGTTCCGGAAACTTATAGTGCGCCCTATGTATATGTAATTCCACGCATTTTGACGTCGGTTATTGTTAGTACTCTGTAGTTAAATTATAGTTTGTTATAATTATTAGTACAAAGATCAAACACTTAAAAAAAATTCCTTCGATCCGGCTGGATTCAAACCAACGTCTTCTAGCAAACCGTGACAGACGCTATGCCAACTAAACCACGGAACGAACTAGCGGACCTTACGAATTTTTCTGTGATCTTTGTTTTTGGTTTTTAACGACTTTTTAAATCTTTACATAATTTAATTTCAATATTTGACATTTTATATTACTAGTATTACATAAATACTGTCTGTGTTATAGTCTAATTTTGTTTTTAATTTTTTTGTTATTTTATTTAATTTAATTATTTTTTTAATTACACACGCTGAAATTATAAGTAACGAAATTTTTATACTCAAACGCAAAACCAGTGTATCGTACGTAGCTGGTATTCCATAGATTGCGTGAAAAAGAAGACAGGGTAATATCCTCGTACACCCTTCGCATCTTTAGGTAACTAAATGAATCACAATTCCAGGTCGCAACAGACCCCGTATTGGCATGGAAGAAAGCCAAAGAGCTTTATGCATCACTGAGCCAACCCGAGCCAGAGAATCAAGCCAGGCCAGCTACGCTCGAAGAATTGATGGTGCTGTTGGCAAGAGAGACAGCCAGGAAGGTCGTGCATCTCATCAACTATACACACACTGATTTGCCTAGGTATGATTGCATTTAATAATTTCTTTATGCTTGAAAATTGTTGATATTTAATAACGATGTCACTACGGCCATTCTCACAGTCGGTACGGCAATTCTCACATTCGGTGTTCTCAGCCTAATTAAGTACCTTAGCCATTTCCATATTCTCAGCCCAATTACCGTAGCTATTGTTTTTTGGTAAGAGGGTGCTGGTGAAATTACAGGCACATGGGACTTGTCAACTTATGTCTCAGGGTGTCGGTTATAACATCTAGTGACGGAACGAACAAGTGCGCCTGATGGTAAGCTATACGCCTCTCCATAACAGTTGCAGTGCCACTCAGAGCTTTAAATCGCAAAGATTTGAGGGGCACTACTTTACCGTCACCCTGAAACATAAGTTTACAAGTCCCATGTGCCTGTAATTTCACCAACACCCTTACCCTTCAAAACCGGAACATAGTAATGCTGACATTACCGCTTGGCGTCAAAAATAGATAAAGTCGCAGTACTTCCCTGGACGAACACACACTTTTATTATATTACACACAATTTCATCATTAGTTTTATCACCCTACCTACACTTTTTTTACAGGAACGTTCGCCAAGGCTGGATCCTGGTGACTAAGCACGTGTCCACTGCAGCGGATGCCTTGCTCAAGGTAGTGTGCAGGCCGTCGCCGCATTCGAGGAGCTCGGTCTTGCCGTGGCTCCTCCACCGTTCGCTAGTGTTGCACCTCAGAATCGCGGCCCCGGCGCAGCCTAGTCAGTTCGCTGACTCCAACAATAACTAGTTACATAATATCCATGTGCCTAATGATTGCAATTAATTTGTGCTCGTAGCGGGCTCTACACAGACACTCTATCGCGCGTGATACAGCAATCGAGCGCGCGGTCTATCCTGCGCCATTAGCAGATAACAAAAGAGTAATGAGAACGGACACTCTCCTCCTCTCCCTAGCATTAGATATCGCACCAAGCCCCGCACATTGACGGTCACATTGACTGAATGGCAACAAGGCTATCGGTGAGCCGTTTTCGCATAAGACGGGTTCGATATTTGAATATAGTTTTCATTTATTCATTACGAAAATTGTACGTTCATATATAATACCATCATTATAGGTTTCTATTTATAATGGTCGTGAATTGTGCTGTGTACAGCTGTTTATAATCATTTAAACGTGATTAAGAGAGGAGTTGCTTTTGTTTTCTGAAAGATGAAATGAAGTAAGTAAAAAAAACTTATGTCTGAGACTCATTCAGTTATTGTTTTCTTTAGTGCAGAGTAATATGTAATGCAGATTTATTTTATAAATATATTAAGACGCCATAACTTCGTGAGCTAGTAGACAAGGGTTCTCGAATTTTCAATTTCTATTGCCGATAAATATTACGTAGTGAACATACCTACTTATTAACTAGGTAATGATAAACTTAGACACTCAATTTCAAATACTTTGGTTACCTTATTTAAAGGTACCTGTCCAAAATATAACATTTTAAGTGCTTTTAAATAAATTGAAGATTATATTATTCTAGTTAGTGAATTAATGAAAAATATAATATTATATCGATATAAATACGTAATGAACATGTGTAATTATTAGGATTCTATTAATAGAATTTTAGATAACAGATTCGCTTTAGAATTTTCGCTATGTTGCCGCTCTGACCACGTAACGTAATAGTACGAGAAAGTGATGGGTAACCTTGCCACTTCACGCACACATTTGCACGTGTACAGATAGCGCCTTGCTGTATGTAGTAGTAGTAGGTAAATAACTTTCGACCGTTGTATCGAGTGTCCGGGGTGTGCCATTAGGGCAAGTTCCCATTATATCGTAACGTTTATTTTATAGTTGAACGAATATCGTGTCTAGTTGTTCCCACTAGATCGTGACGACAATTTATCGGTTCACGGTAGCCACCTAGTCGTTTGCACGACAGAATCGTTTGAAGATGCGATTATCTGTCGTCACGTCATATTTATCGTTAAACGGCTGTCGTTCGCTCTTCCCATTGCCACGACAATTTGTCGTCTTAACGTCCAAAAAGGACACAACGACATTTCATTTAATTAAACAAGCTACGACACTTTAAACTGCATGACTATCTATCGTCACGACATAATTCAAATATCTTTATTTAATTATTTATAATGGGAACGCGCCCTTAACCGTAACACGGACGCTCATTCTGTTGCAACAGCGCGAAAGAACGTTAGTTTAAGTGTGAGCCCAGACGAACGTAATTTTGTGAGTTGTGATTCGCTTAGTTTGAGTTGCGTAGTTCGCGCTGCATTCGGATATGAAACTACGGTTTGTTTCACACGACGACGCAAAATGAGTTTCTGCCGACTCACGGACGCAATCACGACTGACTTTCGGTCGCATCGTGTGACGGGCTGGCGCGAGTAGAGGTAGGGGTTAGACTTGTGTCTGATCGGTCCTTAGCGGGAGCGATCCTAGTTAGTTCAATCGGTCAACTGAACTAGGTCGGTCCTGTAGTTCATTTAGTTCTTCTAGTTCCTTACTTATTTAGTTCGTCTTGTCCTTGCTCGGACGTTGAACGAACGCTCCAAACTAGTAATTTTATTCACATGAACTACTACGGACTTCTAGTATTATGAGGTCAATACTACACTGTACTAAATATTTAAAAATACATTTTGTATGGAATCGGTACAATTTGATTTTCCTTTATATTTTACAGGTTTAAAGACTGTCATTCTAACTAAATATCCTTTTTTTTATAAAATAAGAATTTTAGTTAGAATGATGTGTTTAAAAATCAATATTTAGGTACCACTATTTCATATACTCGTACACGTAGGTTGATATTATACATTCAGATACCTACCAAAAAAGATTACTTTTTTTGCTAGCTTGTTATATACATAATGTAGATACATATAATGCCGGCTGTACACACTCGCCGAGACACCCCGAGACAGACCGAGAGCGAGTGTGTACATGATGCTCTCGCCTTGTCTCGCCCGCTCGGGTCTCGCCTCGGGACGCCTCGGCCGCGTGTCGGTTTTTTGCGACCGAGTCAAAGGGTCTCGTTCGCTCTCGCGAGGCAAACGAGACTCAGCATGTACTCAGCATGTACACACTCGTTCATTTAGTTGCAATTGTAGTAACTAACAGCACAAAGACAAACGGCAGCAGCAGTTTCTAAGTCCATCGTGGCCGATATCCGCTGTCCAAATGACACCCCGAGTGTGTACACGGTACCCTGTCGTCGAGAGGTTCTCGCTCGAGACTCTCGCCGAGAGGCTCGAGGCGAGTGTGTACAGCCGTCATAAGAGACTTAGAACGAGCTGGCAACGTTCAATCGTGCATCCCACTCGAACTTGTACTAAAAGTAGTGAAAGATCGCTATTTGTCCCGCTCACACCGATCCTACTGTATAAAAGACAGGTGAACTATCAACGCAGACAGTTCATAGTTCGTACTGAACTAAAAAGAACGATGAACTGTTAAAACCGTGCAAGACGAACTAGTTCATGTCGGTCAGTGTAGGGAATATAATCCTAATAGTTCGTAGTTCATGAACTATACAAGCCTAGTAGGGGTGGGGGAAGGGGTCACTTTGTTACAGGATGCGCGTGAGTACAGACGTTTCTTGCGAAAATGTACGATACGGAAAATAATAATAATGATTCTTGATAAAAATATATTGACATGTGGTAGTACTTAACAAATTGATCTGGATGTTCACATAAACTTGTATATAATATATGAAACTGCCCATACTTTAATCGTTTCATATTGAGTGGATGTACCTAGCTTCTTTTTCTAACATCGTCTTCTAATGCTTCATAAATGCATACTATTTTTAATGGGTCCATTACACTATTACGATACAAACACCCCGTATAAACGCTTAAAAGCAACTGAATAAAATCCGTTCTTCTGGCGCTCCAACCGAATTTCGGTCGAGTGCAAACTCGCAACTCAAAAAATGCAACTCACAAAATTACGCTCACCTGGCTTCACTCTAAAACTCCAAACAGGTAATCGCGTACGATTGCGCGTGCAGTCTTTCCCGCGCGTAATCCTGTACGCTCCTGATCACGATAGAGTGACTGTGTAAAAGGGACCAATGCCTCCATAATGCCTCCTTTTGATTTTATAATTCTTACATGTTTTATCTTACTACCTTAATCAACTTAAAAACTTATCCATCCGGTGGTGTGGCGTGCTATCATGACCTTACCTATGTACTGACAGACGGTGCCAGTGGAGACGGCAATAACCGAGGTGCGTAGCTGGCGCGCTAAGCTGCAAGCTCTGCTCCAGCAACTGCAATCGGTCTCCAAGACATATTTGGTAAGAAATTAAGATTTGTTTAGAACTGACTTATTACCGGGACACAATGAACCATTAACGTTTATGAGCTCTGCTATAACTTCCGCGTCACCAAAATTGGGTTCTCATCAACCAGAGCTAGTTCTCAAAATTATACTAACTAACAATTAAACTAAACTAACATATCGATTAAATATATATCGATGGCTTTCCAGAATCAGTTCCAAAGCTTCCAAAGTCAGTGCTTCAGGTCTTCTAGGAAAATGATTTAAAAACTGAGGCGTATTTGCCACGCAGCACAGACGAAATGAATACGGACCCAATGTTGTCACGTGATTATTTAAGCCTTATAGTATATCGACGCTTGAAAGGCAAAACGGGATAAGCGACACTTTTTGGTCATATTGAATTATATATACCGTTGGAATCAGAAACATTAGCTGATTAAAACGATATATATAGGTAACTAAATATCAACAAAAGTGTCGCTTGTATACCATTTTGTGTTTCAAGCGTCGATATGTATATGACAAGGTACTCTTTGTTTATTAAACCTATGGAAAGTTAGGTGAATTATTTACAATATAATTTAGAACATCTGAGTACGGCTTAATAGTGAAATATTTGATTTGGGCCACTATTTTTTGACAGAATAATATTAATTCGTGCGCATCACTATCTTCAATGAACGTATTATGATTCCCAAATGGCTATTTTTCTCTTGAATTGATTTTGTGTGATAATATCATTGACTTACAAATAAATGGACGACGGGTCTAATACAAAAACCACGAAAAAAATGTCCCAAGTCAACCTATTCGAAATTTAAATTGTAATATCATCGCAGTATCGCGCTGTCAGTCCAACAAATGAAGACTAAAGCGGAGTTTGGCGCTCTGTATACGATTTTAGCGCCTTACAAGTGCGGACACTTTTTAGCGCGGACCCGACGTCCATATAATCGTAAGTCAATGGATAATATACAATTCTCTTAAGATAACGATTTCCCGCGAAAAAATGTCTGAAAATGAAATGATTGAAGAAAAATTCAAACCTACGACTCTTTAGTCTAGTGGTGGGTCATGGAAAAATTTCCATTTTGAAAAAAATCATATTCTCCTGAAAAATAAATATTTTCCGGATATTTTTCCACATTTGACGTTGACACCTGTCAAAAGTTGAAGTTACTGCACGAATACGAGGTAGAGACTTTTTTAGCTGTTATCCAATCATTTTAAATCTCGTTTTTTTACGAATTACGTCAAACATGTTTAAATACAGAAAAATATAACCCATGTCCTCCGTAATTGGAGAGGTTGTGGGTTATATTTTTCTGTATCTAATCTCGAATTGGAGAGGATGTGAGTAATAAATTTTCTGTATCTAATGGAGCAATAAACATGTTTGTTGTTATTCCACTTATGCCATTCTTCCATGAGGGTATTTTTAAACATAATATGAGCCTTTGAATTATATTTTTCAAATTTTTCAAAAATTTTTTCGGAAAAATTTCCTCTATTAGAAATTTTTCAGTAAATTACCCAACAGTACCTTAGCCTGAAAAGGAAAAATTACTGTTATTATTTACAGGAACACCTGGCAATCTTTTTGGCGGGAAACGAAGAACGTGAGAAAATAGCACCACGTTCTACATACGAACAGCGAGACGATTTAGCTATCAACGGCGTTAACTAATCCTCGAGATTTGTTACAATGCGATAATAGTAACTAATACTTGGTGCTAGTGTCTTTGCACTAAATATATTTACGCCTATTTTAGTTACTTATATATTAAATAGATAATAATTTTATTTTATTTTTTGATAAAGTAATAAATCGAGTTTTTAAATGTTGCAAGTTATGAGTAATTTTAAACGATATTAATATTTTATTTCTATTCGAAGTACCGAACATAGTTTTCAAACAACTTTTCATATAAAATTTGAAAAGTAACTAATTTATGAAATAACGAGTACCTAAATACACAATTTTATCCGTTCGGTTAAAATTTAATATAATAACGTTGAATTAAATTGTATTTTTTTATTAATAAATGTATGTTAATGAATTGGTTGGATTTTTATTGTTCTGATACCTACAATTTATAGTTTGGAAAGTGAGCGAAGCTTTCTTAGCATTTTTTCAAATAGCACAATTTACAAACGGTACACGGCCTTTCCTCAACCGATATACATGAAATTTGAAACTAGAACAAAATTACAATCCTAGAGGTTGTGACGTCGTCTATTTTTTGAATTTCGACCTTTGACGTAAGATAATTGAGGTCATATATTAAGTCTATGGGACAAATATTTGGGCGCGCAAATATGCACAATTGTCAACAAAGAAAAAAAAGAAAAAAAAAAAGAAAATACTGCAGAGCTTCAGTTTTATATTATGTAGGTACTTAGTTCAATATCATTTAATGTTGTAGAAAAAAAATGGTTTACACCACTTTTGCGCTGATGTTATTACGCATGCTAGAATTAATTTGTGGTCAGTTTTTTCTATCCTCTTTAAGCTCTTTGCAAAGATTATATAACCACTTCTCTTTGGTCAGCATCAAAAAGAATAGAAGAATGCCATTATGGAAAAATAATTAAATAACTTTGAATATGACAAAAGCTTTCATAAATGTTTATATATTTTATATAAAATTTTATTGAAAGCATAAATAATTTATGCTTCAAAAAAATTAATGAGTCTAGACGTAGCCGCAGCACGTTTCTCGACACAATGACGAACCCCACGCAACTAATAAAGGAGAGATCATTGCAGTCTTACTATGTTAGTAAACATAACACATTGTATCAACCCTTAGAGAACCACTTTTTAGGCATAGGCATCGAGTATTATAACCAGATACTCGATGGGCATAGGTGTGCTCTAAAAGGATTATCTTTGGGCGCCTTTAAATTAGACGCACAAAGAAGTGCTGCACTGACGCAACTGTGGCGTCAGCCGCGCATTACGTCTTACTTCACTAGCAAACGCTTAGAGGATGAAAAAATAAAATAAAAGCAAACGTGACGCGCGCGAGTCAAGACAGTGGCGTTACGTACGACTGCACTTCCAGATATAAATGAATATTTAATAGTGGCACGCGGCTGCCGCGCCACAGACGTGCCACTGAAGCACCTCTACAAGCGTCTGATTTGAAGGCGCCCTTAGAAGAATTTAGTAAAACTTTTCATAAATGTGGGCTTACATATATCCGGAATTCTCAAGTAAGTAGGGAAGGGAGCGCAATCAAAACGGTAGAGATTTATTAATATTCTATTGTAAATTGTTTTAAATTTTTGTGTCGGATAGATTTTTTTGAACGCTATTGCTATTTTTTTTCTACGACTCATAGTTATTGAGAAACAAATCGTAAATGCTTACCTTCGTTGACCTCACTCGGCACGTGCAGCTGGTTCATGATTGATCTAGCCTAATCAGGTTTGATCTACTTCCTGGTTCTCTAGTTACTGAAAATTTTTCTGAGTAATTTTCTCAATAAATTGTTATTGAGTTGTAGAGAAAACATACAATGACAAAATGTTTATTTGGGTCTAATCTACCCGAAACAAATATTAAAAACATTTGGTAAGAAACAATTTGTACCTGACTGAGTAAAGAACTTTGATTTCTCACAGATGGCACTAAGTACTACGGCAAAAAGTTTGTAAAAATCAAAAAACAAAGATCTGCAACAAGTACATAGAAAAATTCGTAATTAATTTGTAAAATACTAATAATCTCTAATACTATATCACTAACATCAGAAACAATAACTTTTGTTCCATGACTTTTTAGGAAACAATAAATTTACCAAAAATTAAGTTTTTGTTCTACAAGGCGCACTATAAGTTTGCGGAACTGGCCACTTACATAAACAATATTTAAAAAGTAATTACAACATTTGAAAATGGAACTCTTTGGCTGTAGAATACAGTATATTTCATCTGACTGTCACTTGTTTTTACATTGTGGCGTCATTTTAGAAATTGGTTGTCTACATCACCATGGATTTAAGTCGTGAAAATTTTCGTAGTTTGATTTTGTACGACTTTAAGTGTAATTTAACAGCTCAGCGGAGCTTTGCTCGGCGACAAACTGCTTTTGGCGATAAAGTACCATGCAAGACGACTATTTATAGCTGGTTTGCAGAATTCAAACGCGATCGTGTGAATCTTAGTGACGAATTTCGTGATGGTCGCCTGTCCACTGCTGTTAACAACAAAAACATCGATGCTGTGCTCCGTATGATCAAAACAGACAGGCATATGACATAACATGAGATTCGGGCATCTTTAGGCATAGGCGTGAGTCAAATATACTACACAAACATTTGGGTGTGAAAAGCTGTGCTCTCTGTGGATCCCACACAATTTGACTGATGCTCAAAAAACGGATCGTGTCACTTGGTGCAATGCCATGCTTACCAGATTCAACGAAGAGACGTCAAATTTGGTATGGGATATAGTAACAGGTGACGAAACATGGATTTATAGTTACGATCCCAAAACAAAGCAGCAATCGAGGGTATGGGTCTTTCGAGATGAGCCGAAACCAACCAAAGTGGCGCGCGTGCAATGTGCCAGAAGCCAGTTTTATTAAAAATAGAAGCAATCATCCGCTTAGAGAAAGCGGATGATTGCTTCTTTTTTTAATAAAACTGGACACGTGGCTACTGTTGCTTTGGAGAGTCGTTGTATCGTGAATAGTGATTAGTACACGACCATCGGTTTGCGGAAGTTGCGCCGTATCATTTTGTACCACGATAATGCCAGTTCTCACACGGCCAGACACAAGTGAATTTTTGAAGGTGAACGATATTGACCTTATGAGCCATCCCGCGTACAGTCCCGACTTGGCACCTTGTGACTTTTATTTATTTCCAAAAATTAAAAACCAGTTACGCGGTCAACGATTTTCATCACCTGAAGAGGCTGTCGAAGAGTATGAAAAATATGTTTCAGAGATTGTCACTGAAGAGTGGCATAAATGTTTTCAAAATTGGTTCATTCGTATGAAAAAGTGCATTAACGCTAACGGAGAATATTTTGAGAAACAATAAATTCGTTTCTGACCATTTATAGTATTTTTTTTTTATTCATTCCGGAAACTTATAGTGCACCACACATATTGACATATTTTAGATTTGTATTTGTTATTAATTTGAAACGTGCAAGCATCCTCGTTGTCGACCACCCCTGCTACTTACTGCGTTTTGCATCGGCCTAGTTATATTTACTTTAGCGCCTTTTTTGCTATCGGGTAGAGTTATAGCTACCGTTTATTTTATAATGATGTACTTAAATATTTTTATTCTTGTACGAAAGTAAAATCTGAAGAATTATCAAAAGTCGTGAAACAAAAGTTGTTTATGATGTTACTAATGTAGTCCTACGAAGTTTTACAAAAAACCTTATATATCAAACCTAAATCTCGACTACGGTACAATCAATCTATGTCCACATTTGTATGTTTATAATTTACAAGTACTCACACAATGTTATTAAACATATTGCAGGCTGACTCAGTTAAGCGGTAGCTTAACTGAGTCGGCCTGGGCCTGGCCTGGGGTAGCTGCTCGGTGCAGGAGGAGTGTCAGTTTACGTAACAGTTATGTCGCGCTGCACAAGGAATAATTTCAACAAGATTTTTCTGACGTTATTCAATAACAAGTTAATTGAAAAAAGTTCCCACCAAAGTAGTCAATTATTATTATGTGAAACGATAGTAACAGAAAAACTATTTCACTTATAAATTAAATTTATATTCAATTGATATTCAATTATTTTTTGTCAAATTAGTCCACTAGTTTGTTATAATTATTAATACAAAGATCGAACAGTTAGAAACGGCTAAAAAGTAGTTGAAAAACCAAATACAAAGATCCGATAACAAGCACATAGAAAAATTCGTGAGGTCCGCTGGTTGTTCCGTGGCTTAGTTGGCATAGCGTCTGGCACGATTTACTAGGAGACGCGTTGGTTTGAATCCGGCCGAATCGAAGGGTTTTTACTAAGTGTTCATTTTTGTATTAATAATTCTTTCGTTGATAATTGGAATGAACAGACCAGCCATTGATTTTTTTCGAACAACTTGTTATTGAATATCGTCCGAAAAATATTGTTGAAATTATCCCGCGACATATTCGTAACTTGTTACATAAACTGTCACTCCTCCCGTACCGCGCAGCTACCTCAGGAACTGACTCAGTTAAGCGATAGGCCTGTAAGCCTCCTTGCTATTTTGTAGGCTGGTTATAACTTCTTGGAAGAACTAGGCGGCATTCCTCCCGAAGAAGGCAGAGCGAAGAACATGGGCTCCACTACATTGTTGTTGCTTGCGATCGTGGTGCTATTATGGGTGGTCACATACACCACGGCAGTGGCCTTGACTTTATGCTTCGATGACAGACGATCCGTAATATACAATTTTTCTTGTGCCTTGGTGACCCTTAATGAAACTGATGCCTGCGATAATATATTTTCTAATATTTTTTCACAAAGTGTACAGTTTTGATTTTGATTTTTATTAAACAATATGAAATATTAATCATTTGGAATTTCTCTCGCAGAATTAGAATATAATCTATTAACCCGTTCATGGCAGTACTTAAATGGCATCGTGTACTAAAATGTCACTACTTGTCTTTGTACCGTAGCTTATATTGATTCAATATAAAAATGATACTACTCTATGGAGAAGCAGTGGGCGCCAACTACAAAGAAAGCACTTGGAAATCTCACAGTGAAGGCGTAAGTCTGTATTTGGTTTTTTGAGATCCACTATAGCGAAACGGAGTACTCCGTAATATCATATTCTGATATTTTTTAATTATACAGTAAACGCCGTTCCTGTCCTTGGACGGGTTAGTTTCTATACCTCTGTAACTTCAATATATCTACCTACATGCACACCACTGATGCACACACAGGCACATTTAGCGGAATACAAATGAAATCTCCAAAAGAATGCAGTGTTTTTTCGAAAGTCGGGTAGGTTATTTTTTTTAATTTAATTGAATAAACGATAATCTCAGTACAGGGTACTAAAAAAGCTGACATCAAAAGTTCGTGGAATTACATCAATTTGACAAGTTTTATTGAAATCGGTTAGCGGAAACTGCGCGAATCCGATTTCATCCCCTAGTCTGCCACCCTTAGAGGTGGAATATTTTCTTCAAATTTAAATGACATCAATACTGAGGTACCGTCTTTCCAACAAAAAAAGATACATCGAAATCGGTTCAAAAAGTTATCGCATAACATACATTAGGATTTTTTTTAAAAAGCACTCTAATTAAAAATCTTCTCCTTTTCTTTAAGTCGGTTCAATATAAAAAATAATTGACTGTCTTTTTTTTCGTTGTGTTTATATTATACAATTACGCCGACATTTGTGAACTGATTTCGATGACTCTTTACTTTGTTAGAAAGGGGGTAGATACATCAGTAGTGCTCCCATTCAAATTTTACGAAAGTATTCTACTTGAGTTCGTTTTCGCGGTTGTTACTCATGGGAAATGAAACTAAATCCAAAAAAATACTTTCATTTCCTAAATATTCTACTTGTAAGGGTGGCAAATTACCCCGAATTTGCCACTATGAATCCAGTTTAATGAATTTTACCCACTTACCGTTAATCCATTTCAATAAAATTTGGCACATAGATTAAATTCCTATGAAAATAAAATATTATGGTGACCTAGCGTTGATCTGATAATGGAAGTGGCAGATAAATGATAGGAACTCCTGAACAGTGTACAGCTGCTACATTGTGTTTGTGTTCACTTTATTCGTTTTGACGAGGACTTCCATATTATGCATTTCAGTTATGCATGCATTTCAAGACCACGGTAACGAACACAGCAAAATCGGAGCTTTTGTAATAAAAAAATAAAGTAACAAAATTGTTATAATTTTCAATTTATTCATTTATTTTATTTTTTACTAATACACGTTTGTCGTGTGACTACATCCACTCCAGTTACAAAAACGAAAAATGAATTGCGTTTTGTAACTTGTAACTTTCGTTAACTTTTGTTGAAAAAGGTTTTTAACAAAGTTTCATGTAATCATTTTTTAACTGTTACAATTTTTAATTTTTCAGCTGTTCCTGTTTAAAAAAAATGCTTTTGTTAATTATTTTTTTTTCAATAAAGGTCGAGTAAGGTAAAGTAACTAAAATCAGTGTTAAAAGATGTTAATTTAATTGCTACTTTGCCAAGAAATGTATATAAATATAAACGTTTTAAATTTTACATTCTCACTTTTTTGTTCCAATAAATGTGCCTGTGTGTGTATGTATTGCGTTAAAGCTGTTTTTTTTTGTATCTACGCGCTTAAACTTTCCCGCGTTCTTCTTACTTTTTTATTTTTCGTGGCTAGGGTTTCAGCGATTTGTACATGTACTTACTTTACTCGTCTTTAAAACGGGAAAACTTCTAGGATAAATAATAACTTGAAATGAAATTTGGTAACTGGATTAGCAAGGTGGAGAAAGAGAGATAGAAGCGATCATATGGTATTTAAATAACACATACTATTTTTTAGGGCAGCTATTACCGTTTACAATATTTTTTGTCTATGGTTTTATCTGACATTTAATTTTGTTTGTCAAAGAAATTGTTTATGTGTAAAATTGATTACATTTTCTCGCTTGCGTCTTGCGCTTCGACACATTTTATCGTTAAGATTACAGTTATATGATAGCTTAAATTAAGTCAATAAATAGAATAGGAGTGAAGCCAATTGATTTTTAAAAGGGCATAATGCCTTCTGTAGACGTGATGGCTCCTCCGGGCCAAATACTCGACGGGCCTCCTGAGGAGCCACCACCTCCGCCTGCGCCCGTCATCGGCATTATTTATCCGCCGCCTGAAGTTAGGAGTATCCTTTTCAAATGAATTTTTGGTAATAAACGGCATTTGTACATAATGCACAACATAACCTCAAATGTTAATATTTAATTAAATATTACATTTACGAGTGCGTTACTATACATTAATAGTGCAGTTAGCATTGACTGTCATAGTAGAGACTTCTTGATACAAATTGAAAGAAGAGTGTTGTTGCTATGGACTACCAAAAATATCAGATGTGTCAATGTCAATGAGTTGTTAAAAGAAAGTGAAAGATTATTTATGCCCCAACAATGTGAGTCGGAGAAAAATTCTCATTTCTGATCAGTCTTAATTTTTAAGAAAAATGAATATTCTTTATTCGTCCCGTATTCTCCCATTTTCTTTCGTATAATTTTATTTCTTTCTCCATCCTCCATGATAATTTTCCACGCTGACACCGGTCAAAAGTTTGTTATTGAACGAAAACGACGCCTAACTTTGTTTTACTAAACGATTTTATTTTTTATTTCCCGCTAAATAAAACTTCCTACAACGTTTCTAAAAGAAAGAAAATAACATGAGCTCTCAAATTATATTTTTGTAACGTCATTAAAATATATATATAACCGTCATTGTGAATAAAAACCGCCGAAGTATTTTAATAACCGGCAATCTGTCTCACTACCGCTATACATGTCTCTCAACCCTGACATTGGCAAAATCGTCGCGCAAAACGACGGAGCCATAGACACAAAAGTTGAAGTTGAAGTTGAAGTCATTAAGAAAAAAAAAGATTATTTATTTTACATTGCATAATTTCATTAAACATTTTGAGAACTGTAGTATCTGTTCGTCTTCTGCTCGTACTTCCACATATCCTTGATGAATGTGCACTGCTACATTGACTAGAACTGTAAATCTGTGATGTGTGATGTTGACCTTTTTCATAATTTATTGAATAATAACATTTGAAATGTTCTAGAATTCCCTTTTCACTATTCTTATGTTGGTTCAATTCGTCATCACTCCTGTCACTATTCTAAACACGAGAGGATATACTCATCATTCATCACCTTCCCTTATTTTTAAAGTTCATTCACTATTATAGTAATATAGGCTCCTTTTGGGGTGAGTATTGTGTTAAATATTGTATAGGGTATAGTTTCCCGAAGTGGTTCCCACCGCCCCTTAGGACACTTCAGCGCCCCCTGGAAGCTATTGGGGATATTGATGCTGTCCAGGGGGTGCTACCGCATTTCAAAAACAAGGCCTGAATTATGTATATAATTACACTACAAACATAATTTTTTTCCTTGTCATTTTTTTGTTAATATAAAAAATAAGTATTTTCAATTCTCTTTTGTGATGTGGGCGTTGAAATTTTTAGTCTTGCCTAAGGGGGCAGTTAGCCAAAAGTTTGGGAACCTGTGGCATACTCCATATACTGCCAGCCATTACCTAAAATTCGGTTAAGTGACACATGGTCAAACATACGTTTTAAATAGCATAAGATGGAGCTCAAAATTCTCCATTTAAAAACAGTTACAGTAATGAGTCGGACATATCGGAACTTACTCTAATTATATGTATACATATCATTAAACAATTTGAATATTTTTAAACTCGGTTATGGTCTTTTATATCTCAAAAAAATTTAGTTAACATACCACAGTATTGTATTTCTTTATATCATTTTATTTGTTACAGCCTCTTCATTTCGTGTTTTTACAATAAATGATGTGGACTGAGCCGTCTCCATTGCATTGCATTTGCTAAGGCTAGGCTACAAAACGAATTAATGCTAGATAATTCAATATTGCACGTAGAATAACCCACAGGGATTGACATTACAAGGCCGACATTGACACCCAAGTGTTATGGGCTTTATTAAAAATAAGATAAACAAAAAGTAGGTCTTGGGTGGAATTCCCAGTAGGACCAAAGTGGAAGTTAACTTTCAAAATTAGCCTTGACCTAATTGTTTTGTATAGTGTCTAGGGGTGAATTCCATTGCTCTGGTACTCATAATACATGATATTTCCTAGTTTGAGACCACAGTTAACAATCGGCACATATATTGAGAACTATGGAATAAAGATTTACTAGGAAGCATTAAAATAAAATTTGTAGGAAATTAGTGTATCCACTTAGGCTTGATTGAATTAAAAACAAACATTCACTAATATTGAGGGAATAATGAATAAAGATTACTTTATAAAAATTAACTTTATATAGAATTATATTTCCTTAATAAATCTATCTAGATATTGTTGACAAGACTGCAAGTTTCGTAGCACGCAATGGCCCAGAGTTTGAAGCACGCATCCGGCAGAATGAAATCGGGAATCCCAAGTTCAACTTCCTGAATTCTGGAGATCCGTACCATGCTTATTATCAACACAAGGTTAAGGAGATCAGGGAAGGAAAAGGTTAGAGGGATAATTTGTATAGTTTTGATAATACTTTATTACAGATTGAAGTCCTTGCTAGTATTGCACACCTTCAAAGCATCTGAACTGTGTTTTTTTAATTACATTTTTTGACAAATTATTATGAGATTGATAAGAAATGTTTAGGTGTTTGTTTCTCATCATATTGGCATATTTTTAAAAAAGCTTTAAAGCAATATGCGAATTTACAAATTCAGAAAATAACAATTTAGAGAACATTTATATTTGGGAAATAAAGAATTAAAAGTGCCAATCTTCTCCAGGGATAGAACCTTCAGGTCTTGCTCCTCCTGGTCAGCCCCCATCCCGGCCTGGGCTAGCCCCGGCAACCGCGGCGCGCCAGCAGGAGCTCCTCAAGGCGGCAGCGCCCGCGGAGCCACCGCCGCCGCGCGATCCTCCGCCAGACTTCGAGTTCATCGCCGACCCTCCATCCATCTCAGCTCTAGAACTCGACATCGTGAAGCTCACAGCGCAATTCGTCGCCAGAAATGGACGCCAGTTCCTAACCGACCTGATGAAAAAAGAAGAACGCAACCACCAGTTTGATTTCCTACGCCCTCAGCATTCTCTATTCCAGTACTTTACCCGGCTTCTCGAGCAGTACACTAAAGTACTTCTCCCGCCTAAGGAGCTGGTTTCAAAGTTGAGCAATGAAGTTCGCAGCGGGATATTGGAGCAGGCGCGCAGCCGCGCCGCGTGGCATTCGCATCAGGCACGCCGCAAGGCCGCCGACGAGGCGAGGATCGAAAAAGAAAGACTCGCCTACGCCTCGATCGACTGGCACGACTTCGTCGTCGTCGAAACTGTCGACTACCCAGCTGGCGAAATGGGCGACTTCCCGCCGCCGACGACGCCGCTAGAAGTCGGAGCTCGTGTTCTGGCTCAAGAGAGAGGCGAAGACATCAATCATCAGGAAGACGACGACACCGAAATGCAGTTGGAATCGGACTCTGAATCCGAGTCAGACGAAGACTTGGCCGAAATGGAGGACCGCACCCACCACCAGCAGAGGCCCGACGACAATCGCGTGCAAGATATGGAAGAGGACAGTTCGTCTTCGGACGACGAGGGTCACCCGGATTCGGTACCGAAGCTCTCGTCGGAGGAGGCTCCGATGCCGCCGCGGCCCGACATGGTGATCGTGAAGAAGTACAACCCCAAGGACCCGAAGACGCGGCCGACGCCTTCGGCGGCCAACGAGGAGTGGCTGGTGTCGCCCATCACGGGCGAGAAGATCCCGTCCAACAAGGTGGCCGACCACGTGCGCATCGGCCTGCTGGACCCGCGCTGGCTGGAGCAGCGCGACCGCGCCGCCGCCGAACGTTCCGATCGCGACGAGGCGCTCGCCCCCGGCGCCGCCATCGAGGCTTCGCTCAAACAGGTGCAGTAAATACAGTAGAAGTGGTTAGTTAGTGGCCGACGCGTGCCAACAGTAGGTCTCGCTAGACCTACTTGAGCTTGCTTTCACTTTGTAAGGTACGGTTGTGTCATACTTTTGCGCGAATTCTATACAGTCGTAGAAAAATTCCTTAGAGAGCGCGATTACACACGCGCGATTTTAAGCAGCGATGCAAACGCAATGCAAGCTCGTGACTGCATCGATGCAATCGCCTAACAGTCGCCGGATGTAACCACTCTTGTGCTGTTTTGGAGTGCAAAAATGTTACTCGTAGTCAACGGCTTCAATCTAAAGACAAGAACATTCACAGCAACTGCATGTTCCAAACAAAACACTATATAGATATACATAGTGTTTTCTTTTTGGTGTTGAATTTTGTCAGTTTCGGTACCGTCGTGCTATGGACAGACGCGACAGTCTATAACCTATTGCGAATGAGCTAGACAGGCTATCTTGCTAAATATTGAGTGTTTACCAATGATATTTATCCGTAGTTGGGGAATATTCAATTTTATTTCGCTTTGACCTAGGAGCCTTCCGTTTACTATTTATAATTATTATATTACTAAAAAGAAAAACAAATTAAGTAAAAGAGAAAGAATACAATCGAATCGTTGAAATCATTGATGTTACGTTATATTCGTTTCCTTGCGGGAAGGCAATAACCATAGTAACTATTTTATTCATATTATCCCTACTTTGTTACTGTGTAGTAGGAACACTGTTGCTTATTAATTTATGATATTTAAGTGTTGTGTCTTCACCGCATATCAGTGAAACATGGCGTGTGTGTGACATGTTACATAGATATCGTTGGGTGCGGCTCGTTTTTCATCATTCCTACATCTTCCATACTTTTATGTGGACTCGTCATTTTATCCGCAACCCGAATTCCCGATTGCAGCTCGCAGAGCGCCGAACGGACATCTTCGGCGTGGGCGACGAGGAGACGGCGATCGGCAAAAAAATCGGCGAGGAGGAGAAGCGGCGCGACGACCGCGTCACCTGGGACGGTCACACTAGCAGCGTGGAAGCCGCCACAAGGGCTGCGCGGGCGCACATCACGCTCGAGGACCAAATCCAGCAGATTCACAAGGTGCTATGCGTATAATGATAAATGTATTGAAATGTTTTTTTATATAATATCAAGTGACGGGACGAACAAGTCGTGCGCCTGATGGTAAGTTACACGCCTGTCCGTAACAGTTGCAGTGCCACTCAGAGATTTAAATCGCAAAGATCTTAGGGGCACTGTAACTGCGCCCGTCACCCTGAGACATAGACAAATCCCATGTGCCTGTAATTTCACCAGCACCCTTGCCTTTCAAAACCGGAACGCAGTAATGTTCACACTACTGCTTGGCGGCAGAAATAAGTAAGCTGGTAGTACTTCCCTGGAAGAATTCAGGAGCTCTATTGCTACAAAGATGTATATTTACAAAGATCAACCCCTGGAGTTTCTCGGGGGGATCTGCTTTACAAATGAGCAGTAGAGTTTAATCAGTATGATGATTTCGAATGTAATTTGCTTACCTAGACTAGAAGGTCCAGAGCACTCCATTCTTATGTCGTTGATATTCCACCTATTCGCACTAAGCGCTTTGCTTCCTCCTTTCGGATGCGTACGGCAAAGGAATGCTCTACCTGTATTTCCCGAAAAGTACAATTTGAGGCTATTCAAGGCTAGTGTGAATAGGCATTTTTTAGGCAAACGCGTCCCATCGTCGGTCACATCGTTGCTTAACATCAGGTGAGATTGTGGCCAAGCGTGTGTCTGTTATATATTAAAAAAAAGAACCTATGAACTTTGACTTCCAATAGGTCGACATTTCAGTTTCGACTAACATCGGGAACCGGAATCGGGTTGACGGTTTGGTTTGTTCGGCCGCAGGTCAAGGGGCTGCTGCCCGACGAGGAGAAGGAAAAGATCGGGCCCAAGCCCGTGGGTAGCGCCACGCTGGTGGGGCGGCCGGCACCGGCACGTCCGGCGATGCCCGCCGCCGTGCGCACCGCAGCGCCCGTACTACCCGTGCTGCAGCCCATCCCGCCGCTCATGGTCATCCCACCACTGGCGCCGCGCCCGCCGCTCATCCCTACGCCGGTCGGTCGGTACCCGCCCTTGAGGCCATTGGTTCTTATGTTCAAGTCGGGTTAAAACCCATTAACGCCCGAAATCGTGGGGAAATACTTTTCACAACTAATCGAGTTCTTAGGTTTTCACGATTGTCTTGGTGGCCGTACGGTTACCGTACTGGTCTGTCACGCAGAGGTTCCGGGTTCGATTCACGAATATGAATTTGAACTACAGGTTTTTAAATCGAGTTTTGTTCAAATGTAATGATATTATAACAAAATGTTTATTGCTTACATATTTTGCCTTTCTATTGTATTGTATTGAATCGCATTGAAGTAACCGATACAAAACTCATTTTAAACATTTGAATGGGTTTTCATAAAAGTTGAATCGTAATGTACATCCCTACTACTAAGTGAGGATGTGAAGTGATCTACAGGATTGCAAAGTGGGTATTGCGTGGAGTTGCCTCTTTCTAGTGTAAAATAGAATTTATATATCGATATTTCGAATAAGTATGGAATTATACAGTAGACTAATACTACTTATTTAATTTTTTTTTTATTTAAGTACGTAGTTATGTGGACGGCGGCGCATTGGGTGCAGCAGTCCGACCTTGAAAGCGTCCTTATTCCATCTGTAATAGTAGCTGATTTGTAGTGCAATTGTTGCACTAGATGTGCCACCGACTGTTCGTTGCAGAATATCAGCGCTCCAAACTTGTATAGTTGGGCACAATTGCTGAGTCGAAACATTTTAAGCACATTATATGTTGTAACTTTTCTTTTTATATGTAATGCTGTGACGTAATGTGCTGAATAAATGCTTTATCTATCTATCTATACCAAATTCCGTATTGTTTTACGCGTATGATATTTCCGCCAACGATTTTGGGCAGAAATGGATAAAAACCTGGTTAAAGTCCAGGCGGGTTGATTGCGTTTTAACCCACTGCCCATCTCTGTTCTCGTGCGATTCAAACTGGCGATTGGTGCAGGCGCGCCGACGTTCGGGTACTCGGCGGTGGCTGCCGCCCCGTCTGTGGCCCCGCCCGGCACGGTGGAGGAGGAGGAGGGCCCCGCGGCGAAGCGCGCCCGCACCGAAGACGCGCTGGAGCCTGAGCACAGCTGGCTCGCGAGGCATCCGGCTGCAGTGCCCATACAGGTACAGGGTCAAGAGCACATCAAGCTTGACTCTCAAGATTCAAATCCAACTATGCAGCTTCCGATAAGAACGGTCCAAAGTACAAAGTGTCAAGCTTGACGTACCATACGTATTTTTTATCTTTCCTTATTATTATATTTTTTATAATAGTAAGGTAAAATTTTTATTATGCGCAAAATAATTTATAACGGCGGTACTGTTTTATACATTCGCCACTTGTTTCGCCCAAAAATATTGTTTTTATAATAAATCATGGACTAATGTGGGAGATGGAAAAAAATACCTTTTTCTCAAACATGCTCTGAGATGTTTGTATTACTTTAGAAGAACAACTCACAAAGTTTGAAATTTATATATCGTGCAACTCTTTGCCGGCCTCGGCCGTCAAAATAAGTATGTAAATTCATTTCTATCCGCTGCTCACTACCATCGATGGTCTGTAATTGAGAGAATTAAAAAAAATCCATGGTATTACTTATTTTGCGTTTAATTACGGTGTACAAATATACCAGCACAATTGTACTCTCCCTAATTTAAAAAAATACTTGAAAATTTATCATGACTTTTTCTGTTATATATTTTTCTTAATTCATTAGTATTTTTTCCGCGCATTATTATTATTTCCTCCTCGCATTGTCTGAGAAAAGCACTATATATACCTCGGCGGGAACGGGAATTGTCTGACTCGTATAGTACGAAGTTTATAAATGTTTCTGGTTCTACATAAGACTTAAAGTTACCTTAACCATAACGATGTATGTGATGAGCTCGCGCCCGACAGTATTCCTAAGTGATGTACCGCGCAGGTGATGGTGCCGTCGCTGCCAGAGCGAGTGGAGTGGCGTCTGGATGGGCGCGCGCTGGCGCTGTCGCTGCCGCTGGCTACGTCAGTCGCTGACCTCAAGACGATGCTGCAGCGTTCCACTAACATGCCGCAGGCCAAGCAGAAGCTGCACTACGAGGTAACCATCCAGGACGTATTGTTAATTTCGAATATGATTTTGAAACGATACCCAATTTTTGAAATAGATTTTTTTCCTCATCTCGAATATGTACGAATATATACAAGGTTAGACATCATAAACAAGAACTTTTATTCCACGACGGATTAAAACGTAACAAAAATCTGCATTTTTAGCAACTTTTCTCGCGTGTTGATATGAAATTATTTATTGGTGTAACTTGTAACAATGTTATACGCCACAAGGCAGTTACCTATATCATTAAACATTTGCAAAATAGACATTACATCAATATTACATTTCATGTCAAGGTTTATGTCACTTAAAATTAATTATAAAATAAACCGTACGTTGCATTGCATAACGTCTGCTTAAAGGTAAAACTACGTAAGTGAAATTTTCCACAAAAAAATCTCTAAATTATGTACCTGTTGTAAGAAAATTACCATCTTTCTGCAGATAAAACTCTTATTAAGTTTATAGCGCTTTTGTTTTTGAGTTTCACGTGCAGAAAGATAGTGATTTTCTTACCATAGCTATATAAATTAAAGACGTTGTATTTAAAATGTCACTTATGTGATTTTACCTTTAAACAGGATATAAAATACATTATAAGTCGCATTTACATTATATTACAAGTCATAAAAAGTAAAATAAAATATAATAACAAATAAAGATAAATCATAATACGATAAAAATTACATTGTGACATTTAATTTTAAGAAATAAGGAATTCTTTAAAGTAATAGAGTTGCTTTTTTAGTATCCACAACTTTTAACTTACAGCTAAACGGTGAAGCTGCATCTTTGATATCGTACGGTATCTTGTTGTATACTACATAGTATATTGTCATTCCTAAAAATTATTTTGGTGGTGGGTGTTTTCGTTTGCTACCGCACAGAGTTAACACCGTTTAGAGTGATTTATTTAAATATTTTTAATATTATTATTATTAATAATAACGCAACACCTTGACCCTGAACAGAAACCCTGTGTCGCGGGTGCCATGGACACACACTAGACAAGCACAAATTACACCCAAACTCACGAGAGAAATAAATATAGGCCATACAAATATTTCTCCCGGCCCGGGAATCGAACTGGGACCTATGCGCGGCAGTCCGGCATGGTAATCGATCGGCCACTGAAGCAGTCATTTATTATTGTACAAAAGTAAAATGTGATGAATAATTTTAAGTCATGGAACAAAAGTTGTTGTTTTTGATGATAGTAATATATTTCCTGTGAGGTTGTTACTGTTTTTTGTGTAATCCTGTATAACCCAATTTTGATAAAAATGTTAGTTGTGTTTTTTTTCGTTCTGAATGCCGTATACAACATAGACACTTGTTGAAGTAATTAACGCGATCAAATCATGTTTTTCCATTCGTACCTCAGGGTCTGTTCTTCAAAGACACGAATACGCTGGCATACTACAACGTCCCTCCGGGCGCCGTCATCCAGCTGCAAGTTAAGGAGCGTGGTGGACGTAAGAAGTAATACGCTAGTTTGGTCTTCAAGTATCCAAATTGCGATAGGCAATTCGTAATGGAAATTGTGTTTATTAATATTCAATTAAATAATAAAGTATTTAAAAATTGTCCTTGTCTCTTTGTTACCTAAATAAAAAATGGTTATCTATGAAAACGACAAAAAAACCGATCACTCGATCGGTACAATAAGTAATTATTTATTGCCGCAATGTGATTGCAACTTTACATACATGTAACTTAGGGGATTATAATGAACTGCCGAGTTTGCAAAGATCCCCTGGGGCATTGGGCTAGGGGGAGGGGGTGGACTCAACGCTCTTTTATTGTTCATGTCACTATTTCTATATCTTTTTTTTATAAATCTTTATCAAGGAAAAGGTGTAAGAAAATCATAGTGATGTTTTCCTATTTTTAATAATATCTTTGGTTATTTTCTCCCAGAATAAATTATTAAAACTAATGGAACAGAGCTTAAATATTAATGTTTGTGAGACAGAAGCCTACACTGAAAAGTCCTGTATCCAAAACTCCTGGTGCCCCCACCAGGGAAGTCATCGGTAGGGACTAGTGGAATAAGCCGAGTATATTACTATTATATATACAGGTTGTCCGAAAACTCAATGTCAAGGCCCGGTGCCCGCTTGACGTTGTCGCCGTGTTGTAACCACTCTTAGAGGTGAAGTATTTTCTTCAAATTTGCATGCGACCACAACTGGTGTACCGCCTTGCCAATAAAAAAAGAACATCGAAATCTTCACAAATTTAGGAATTATCCCGTAACATAGACGCAACAAAAAGATACAAAATTGATTTAAATCCGGAAAGATAGTTTCATTTCCTAGAATTGACAACCTCCTTTTTTGAAATCGGTTAGAAAAAAAACTTTTTCAAATAATATCATTTATTTATAAAACGTGTAAAAATAGAACAAAGCTCGTAACATAATTGTTAACAATAGATAAATAAATGTTGTTACATATTATAAGGAATGTGTTCAAAAGTGAATATTTACAATTTCTTTACGTCACTAAGCACCATATAATATTATAACACCTGTATAAATAAGTTATATGCATTTGTTGCTTGGTAAATAAATATGTTGTACAAAAATTGCTTTTTATATTAAAAATTATGTAAATAAAAATATGTTTGCTTAAAAAATAAAATTAAAAAAAATCTCAAACCACAGATTCTTTTAAGGGACTCACCACATTTATACACACGGACTCGCCTTGAGCCGTTCAGAAAAACCATGAACATAAACCATGCAATAAGAGCGCAACGTCGTTTCGCTTCCACTCGGATCATCGACGCGAAATGCACGCCATTTTCGTTCTTATTGCACGGACATAAAGATTTTTCCGACCGGCTTAATCCGATCCTGTGTCATGTGTATTGCATCCTAAAATAGCACACGTAAAACTTAAATCTATAGCATGTTGAGCACCAGTAAGTGGAACGTAGTATAAAAGAACAGCCAAAATTTTGCTTAAACAAGCTATTTTATTAAGATTATTAAAACAAAGATCGAACAATTTCTTCGACCGGTTCGCGGTGGGTACCACAAAACTAGTGGACTTATTTCACAAAACCTCTAATTATAATTAGCTCAGTTGATAAGAGCAATGCTACGATGCATCATGATCGTAGGTTCATGTCCCACCGGGTCGAAGAAACTTTTCTGTGCGATCTTTGTATTAATAAACATAACAAAACTAGTGGAGTTATTTCACAAAACAATACAATAACAAAACTATTTTAATGAGTGAAGCAGTGACTTGTATGCGTTATAATATTTAAGACGATTCTTGTATATGTTGTTTAGAAAACTTTTTGGGCAAGCAGTAGTAAATGCCTATAAAACTGAGTATAGCGTTAAAGCCTTGTCTTGCTATAATGCCGCCTTCAAATTAGACGCTCATTGAAGTGTCAATGAAGATTATGATAATTTCTTGCACCATAACTTAGCTAGTTAGAGATTGAATCCTTAGGTTTTCGTAATTGTTACACATAGGAAATGAAACATTTTTTTCTGATCCAAATCGCGTATATTTGTTTTTTCTGTCACGGGTGGGTGACAGTCGCCCGTGACCTTTAAATAGCCCAAAACGTTGGTTTGTTTGAAAAAACAAATATAGATTTATAGGTATCAGAACAAATATACTCCCAGACTCATAACTAGTGTGCAGAATGCAAATCCAAATTCCCAACAAGGATATAATGGAAAAGAAGTTTAGTATATTAGTTTTAAAATTGCATAATAGTTTTTGGTCAATCAAACATTGCTTAAGCTAGGGCACCTAAAACTGAAAATGCGTGGTGTCTCGATTTATGTGTCCGGAAGTGTAGCTTCATTTCCTATAGTTAGATTTGAGTTTAGAATAGTTAGTGTTATTTTCGAATTTATTCCGCAACCGCACAAAGTATTGCCAGTTTACTTAGTTGTATTCGGAAATTGTTATTATAACTATATAACTCTCTCTCTTTCTCTCTGTCTCTCTCTTACTACAATTTGTTTTCGAGGGCGCGCACATTTAAGAGTTGATACTACCTCAGCTGGAATTCGAATTTTTCCCGTACTAATACGGGCTTTATTTCAGAATTTTGTTTTTACAAACGATATTAAAGCATTATACAATAAAAATTGTAAAAATGTATATTGTATACTATGCGTTTTTTATTTAGTACAGTTGATATTTAAAAAAAAGTCATTGCTATATGTAAAGTTGTGACGGTGTGACCTCCTTACACCGTCATCTCACCTCTTTGTATCGCCTCTCTCCTCTTGTATCTTATATTTTTTTTTATTTTACTTGTATTTAAATTTTAAATTTGAATTGTTCCATCTTCCTTCACTTTCTCATTTTGTTTTCGTGCCACGGTCACTCCCAGCTCGACCGCCACAACAGTCAGAGCTGTTAATAAGCTAATCATGTGTAATAATTTATAAGTCTACACCCTTCATGTATCTATTTATGTAATTCAGTTTCTCGGCCCATTTATGGCCTTTCTTTAAACTTTACTTTTTTAATAAATTTTGTGGACCGGAACTTTCCCATTTCATTGCCGTGAACCTGTTCACGGCTAGTTAGGGTTACAACCCTTTCAAAGTAAACCTACCTATTGAATACAGCGGTTTTTTTTGTAAAATTTCGAGGTAAGTTTGTGTTTTTTTCCTATCGTGAAAATTTTCAGGAATCGTGTTTTCACACCGTATAGTAATATAAAGTATAATAATATAAAGGGTATACGAGAAGAATTGAGGATTTTTACTATATATTTTTTCCTAAGTGATTATTTCAACACTTTGACTGTTATGCAGAATCAACCAAAGCCATTTGAGGTTGTATAGACTCTTAATTCATCAGCGTAATTTGAGATGGATTTATTCTAAGGGTCGTATTCTAGAACTCTACTTAATGCTCAAGTCAGGATTGCAATTGAAACATAAGCTCTGGAAATACGACCCTAATGGCAGGGACTTGAGTATGATTTCGAGTGCTTTAAACCATACCCTTATCCTGACTTGAGCATTGAGTAGAATTCTAGAATACGACTCTCAAACTTAGTCTTCTACAGTTTACCAAGCGAGTAACTGTAGGACCCCAATGTCGCACACTTTACACGCACAGTCCATAGAATCAGTTCTATATGGAAGGTTAATGTATATTTATTTTCAAGTTCGTGATCTAACCTAGAAGTATGTAATCATAAATCGACCTAGATACAATTTGGAATGTTAGATTACCCTGGAACGACTATTTCATACTACATACCACTAAACGTAGAATCTTAAATTAGCTACGAATTCAGTACTCAGGCCCGTATTAATAATTAATTATTTTTATTAAAAATATCACTTGAGTGCATCAAACCTCATTGTAAGAGATCGGAGTAGATCGTATGTTTACCCAAACTTCGAGTAATATTCGTTCGGGGTCTGTATGAACACATGTATATTAAGTAAGACCTTTTCGATACCTCCAATTAACTCTATGCTAACATAAATTTTGGACCTGTTCTCTTTTAATTTTGTTTTTTCTTTCACTAATTTTTCTTATTTAAAAAAATTGTTTTTTTTCTTCTGATTTTGTTTTTTGTTTCTTTACTTTTTCACATAATTCGGGGAGAATAATATTAGTAAATAAATATGGCTGGCTGTTTACAAAAATAACAGAAAATGATCAAAAAATAACCATGGCGTGGTGTTCATTGGAGATATCGTTTTAAACATAATTCGTCCATTTGGTGCTAAACCACGTGCTACATAAACGCAATTGTACTTCTTGTAATGTTACAGGAAACTGATTTGAATCGGTTTTTTAATTTTCAATAAAACTTGGTATATATATTTTTTTTACTGCCAATTTTCATTCAAGCGTAAACACTTGT